CCATTCATTTCATTTCTTAGAGAAAAGTGAATCCAAATTACTTGCTGACTTTCGTGCAATAGCCAACCAATAATATTTTTTACTGAAAAGTTTCTGTAAATTATGTATATTTTACTTATGATTAAAATTTAAAATGACTTTGAATTTAATTATTGCGAATATAAACAGAACGAAATATAAGCAAAAAATGTATTAAATATTTCTAATTAGTAAATATTTTCTTGTTTTAAAATGGTGTTTTAACTAATCGTTGGATGGACAAATATAAATGCCTTAATCTTTGGATAGTTCTATGGTAAAGTTGACGATAAAAGAACTTATCTCTCCCACCAAATAAATATTTTCCTAGCTAAATTCCTAGCACACAATATACATGCACACGCTGTTTTAGATAGCACACAACCATGTAGAAATAACTACATGACCTTTCACTACATATTAAACAAGAGAAAAATGGAGATTCATATCTTTAAATAAAGAGATTTCAGAGTACATCAGTGCCTCCTCTATCAAGATATCGTATAAGACAAAACACTCCCGGAAAAAATTATGTTGAATAAAAGAGCTAATATTCAAGTGAAAAAAAATCAGTTATGTAGAAAACGGGCTTAAGGCTATGAAAGATGAAGAAAATATATAGGTAAACATTGGAGCACCTGAGTTCTACTTTAACAATAGTCTTACTGTTTTAAAAATATTTTGAAAATAAAAATAAAAATAAAATTAAGAAAAAATATTTAGTCATATAGATTCACTATTTAGTAATTACATTTAAAATTGACAGGATCAAAACATTTATTGAGGAAAATATAGATAAAAATGTTGGGTTTTATTTTTAATTTTATTATTTGCAGGTTTAATTAAAAAGAGATAGATATACTAGTAAAATTAAAAAAGGAAATATGCTTTCAAAAATAGAAAAAGACAAACAATGACTATGACGAGAAAATATTCATTTTAGAAAATATGGTAACTGTATTGACTGTCTCATATTAAAGTCGATAATTTACGATAATCACTGTTAAAATATAATCATCTTTTAATTTTAAAATTGAAACACTGAGTCAAGATGAGCTTTATAGTTAATGGTTCGCTGCAACCAGAGCAAACAGGTGCTCCATTGAAAAATAAAAATATTTTTAACTAGCAAGATTTTTTTTTGTTTTATAATGGTGATTCAACTAATCATTGAATAAAGAAATGTAAATATATTATCCTATGGAAAATTCTATAGTAAAGTTGACGATAAAAGAACCTATAAACCCTTCTACCGAATAAACATTTTCCTTCCTAAATATGCGTCCACACATTATACAAGCATACATTATTTTATATAGCCCACAACCATGTATAAACAACGACATATCATGGCGTATACTTCAATGCATATTGAACAAGAAAAAGAGAGGAAAAAAAAAGAAGAGATTGAAAGGAAGACAAACAAAAGCAAAGACGCATGTTGTAATGGACTTATCCTGGGGGGAATCTCTTGTCAGGGAGAGAAGGGAGATTTCTCTCTTTAAATAAAGAGATTTCAGAGAATAAAAGCTCCTCCTCTTTCAAGATATTTTATGAGACAAAAGATTTCAAAAATATCACTCCCGGAAAAAATTATGTCAAATAAAAGAAATAATATTCAAGAGGAAACAAAATAATCGTTAGTGACAAAAACGGGCTTAAGGCTATAAAAGATGAAGAAATAGAGATAAATATTACAGCATCTAAAAGTTCTACTTGGTAACAATAGTCTCATTGTTATAAGAAATTTTTTAAAAATGTGTAAAATTAAAAATATTTTTAAAAAAAATTTGATTCTTGCATATCGAATTAATATTTAGTAATTAAATGTAAAGTGTTCAATGGTTAAAATAATAATCGAAGATATTATAGATGAAAATATTGGGTTTTGTTTTGTTTTATTAATTACCGGTTTATTGAAAAATATGATTATAACGACAAAATATACATTTTATAAATTATTATATTACATAAGTTTACACTTTAAAACTTATGAATGAAGAACATAAATGGAAATCAAGCGCAGCGAAAGGTTTATGTTCATTTTTACGGTTTATATACCTGCAAAAAGAAAAAAACGTGTTTGATTAAACTATGTTTCCGTTCAACTCAGCAACATATTATAATTAAAAGTTGCTGAAATTTTGAGCGATATCATGGTACAACTCGCCCCTAGATTTCTTACAGTGTAATAAATACGAAAGATTATAAGACATTTGTAGATCACGAAGACAAGAACGGTTAATGGTCATATTTTGCAAAAAAGACGATTAGTTCGCCATTTGTTGAATTTTGAGGATAAATAAGTTTGATAGATAAATCAATAATGTTTAAAATTGGCTCTTCTCGAAGTGGTTTATTATACCCAATAAAGTCCTTGCTACGCTAGTGATAAACTATTCCTGTCCGCTCTCTCGGGGAAGAGTGTTCTACTCTTCCAAACACTCAGGTAAGATCAAAAGGGATGGAATATTTAAATTGGATGGAACAGTTATCTGGTTTTCACTTTAAAATGTGCTACCTATTCGGCAGATAAAGGTACTCAATGTGAGCCGAGACGAATCCTAGTTACCATCCAAAATGACTTTTTATGGCGCTGCTACATTCACCGCCTTAAATAAAAATAATAATAAACGAGTTGCTAGCTCTATTTGTCAAATCTTCATAGGGGCGAAAAAGAGTGAGAAGCAATATTAATAAGACAGCATCAACGCAAAAAACACAGAAAGAAAATGCCCCTGAAAGGAAATTTTACTAGTCCCCACACATAAAGATTGTAAATATATAGATTTACTGTTTCTGAAAGGCGTGTTGGAGAAATCTGAGACACGAAAATATTGTGAAAATCTCCGTATTCTGAATGTACTTCAGAACATGAAAAGACGAGGTATTGGAAAAAAAAAGAACAAAGGGGAATATAACTGAATACTAGAGACCGAAATACTTATGATAAGTATAGACTAGGGAGAAATTTCGAGGAAAAACGGTTTATGTTCGGCTTTATAAACGGTTTTTATTATTTTTTTTTTACATTAAGAATTATTCATTTCGTTTCGACATTGAGGGATATTAATAAATACTTTTGATGTGTGTGTATATTTTTAATTTTACAATTTCAATTCTCAATACCAATCTGCGAAATTCGTTTTTACTTAAAATAAACTTTATTGGGCATATACCTTTCTTTCTCCTTTTAATTTTCAAATGGTTTTACCTTAGAATAGCTATTTAAAATAGTGTTACACAATCAGTAATTAAAATGTAACTTTATTCCACAATCTCAAAAAAGAGTAACATTTATTTTATTTCAAACAGAAATCTTTCTTCGCGTTTTTTTTTCTTTTGGTAGCAAGACAGTCAAAATTTTAAAGATACTATGAGATTGATTTCTCAAATTTGCTATACTGAATCAGGTTCTTAACCAACGCTGAAACATTTTTTTCGTAAATGAAAAGTAGACAAGTTTGATATAGCTGTAGAAATACAGTGTAATAATTCAAAGTTATAAAGGAACAGATTACTAGTTCACATGAGAGCAAAAATTCAATTTATGAAGAATCTATGTATTTAGAACCGGGAAGTAGATTTTTTGTAGAAACAGACGATAGCACGAAAATTTACTCATGTCAGACAAATTTCTGCACAAATGCTGCGACTCGTAACTCAACAATGACCTCAAATATTACCATAAGCAACAGCAACATATTTTTTAGGGTTCGGAGATTTTACTTCCCGTGAGTCTTGTCAAATCCGGTAATAATTCGAGCAGATCCGATCAATTTCTTCTAAAAGAGAGAAGGCCTCAGCACTGGTTACCATAAACAAGAAATTTGATTCTTTAGTCGTCCAAACGTAATGACATCTTCGTATTTTCCCCCAAGCAGCTTAGTTGCCCTTACAAGGTGACATCTTTCTTATTTTACCTCTACTGAGCAATTTATGTTTCTTACGTCGACCTACTGAATAGATTAGAATCCGGGACTTCTTTCATCTAGGAGGTGTTTATCTTATATCCCCTAACTTAAACGCTAACGTATTTGTGCTTAACAGAGCATGCGTGAAAAAAGTAACTCTATCAGAGTAACTCAAAGTGATAGAAAATGAGCAATAATTAGCAATGGTGATAAATAAGGTTAGTGTTACGATTACGGTAAGACAAATGCTGTGCAAATGCTCTTCATTAAGCTTTAAATGCTTTGTTCACGGCTTGTCTAAGAAAATATTCGTTATTAGCAAACTCTGAACGATAAAGTTTTACAGTAGGCTCATCTTCTACTATGCAAATGCTCTTCATTAAGCTTTAAATGCTTTGTTCACGGCTTGTCTTAGAAAATATTCGTTATTAGCAAACCCTGAACGATAAAGTTTTGCAGTATGCTCATCTTCTACTACTTAATATCATACTGGTGGGTGGAAGCACCCACCAGATCATGATTGGTATGCCGCCAAATGCCCCGGATTATCCCTGCAGTGCAATTGTCCTAGATTTGCTCAATCAGCTTTGTCAAGACTTAGGACCGGAAATATAAAGTGTTTGACCTTCAGAGCGAAAGAAAAGACTTATGCCTGTTGTCATTGCTTAGCCATCGTTTCTCCGTCTCATCTTTTGGATTGCATTGGTGCCTCTGTGAGGCATCTGATGAGTGATGGACAGACTGTCTATGACTTACTTATGCGACATGATCTTCTGGACTTGGTCTAGGGCTCTAGACTAAAGGGATAAGGAACAAGAGCATACTACTGCGCATTGTTAAGATTCTGACACATGGATTCAGGCGCAACTTTGAATTTACTTTAAATGCTCTCATGCCAACCAGTTAAATTAAACCACCTGGAATTCGTACGACACTTCTTTTATCTTTATTTTTTTAACTGAAGAATGGTGCTGCTATCACTATTTCACCAGCTATCACTATTTCACTACAGCACCCTTTTCCTATTTTCATTTGGGCAACCTTAATATGTCGGAAACTTCAACTTACCTGTAAAAAAGAATGCATACTACAGCATGAAGCAAAACATTCACCATATGATAGCCGAAGGGCCTAAGGCCATGGACGGCATAATTCGCTCTAAATGTCAGAACTGTCAATGGTCGGTAGGACTTATGGCTACCTTCCTGTTAAAAAGAAATAAAATATTTTATTTTCTCTACAATTTCAATGCAATAGAATATCTTCTCAGAATTAAAAACAAATAATCAGCATTAGAATAATTCTAAATATGGATTTAAAAAATTGCGCAAACGTCACGCAATATTATCTACAGATAAATAAAATTTGGAAAAATGGGTGTGGGAAAGAAAAATCTGTACAATTATAAACTTATTTATAAATACTTTTACACTTCTTAATTATCTTTATCGTACAATAAACAATAAAAGACGCACTTGTAAGCGGGAAATATAAATTTATGATATTATTTTCAACCTAATGACATAATGATGATGTTTCTTTACAACAAGGAGGAAAGTCATTTTTTTTGGAGGACTATATCAAAATAAGAAAATAGCAATTTAAAAAAATGGCTATTTATGACATCAATCAATTAATTTTCTGATTAATTTTCTTCGTTTCCGTATATATA